AGCCGTTTTGTTGATTGCTTCTTATCATTATTGAATATGAGATTTTCTAGGGCTTCCCAAGTTCTAAAAATCTATTAAATATGCTAACATAACGTATTTAGAGGATTCTATAGCTACCCAATTGCCCAAGGCAAAACAATGACAAATCTTTTTTTAGCAAAGCGGTACGAAATCTGCCGTTCTCCTTTACATAACATTACATACATAGCAATTTTACATAATGGCACACCCATTAAATAAACTCGCCAAACTTTAATGTTTGATGGCGAGAGACTCTCATTAGACAAACAATTCAATTACATTTTACTATAATCCTAGCTTCTGCCTGCGACTTCGTACGCGCAATCCCGTTTTCTCCCGTTTCCGTGGGATTTTCAGGATTTTTTCTGTCTTAGAACCTTCTCCTAATAATAGAAAATACAACAAAAAAAGAGTTAGTGAAATCGGTCCAGCTATTCACGCGTGATGCCGTCACCAAGGGAAAAGGGGATTCATTTATTTATATACCGTAAAATGGTGTGAATAGGGATCTAGAGGTGAATAGAGGCAGAAGAGGGGTGAATAGATTTAAGGAAATTCTTCATAGTATCGATTCACCCTTCTCCTGTCCCTTTTCGCCGCTCAAACCCTATTTACATCCATTTTACCGTACAGATGTAGGTAGGTCCAATTGCAATTTTTTTTTTAACACATATATTATAAATTAAACATGATAATATAAATGTAAACCAAGTCATTGCGTGCCCCTCTCAATCCTTAAATCCTCGCCCCTGCACCTGTATACTGACGTGTACCGGCCGTAGATGGGCGGCGTGTACGCCGGGCTCCAGTACCACGGAAGCTTCGCCCCGCCGCCACCGCCCCGAGGTCCCTTCGCGTCGCCACCGCATCCACACACACATTACATTACAAATTCTCAGGTTGGTATCAGGTTTTAAATACTATTCTAGGCCTAATCCCCAAATTCTTAATCTCCAAATCCACAATCTATAAAATATAATTTCCAAACTTATGTTTAGAGATCTTGAAAACTCTATCTTTCTGTATTTTATCATTTATTTATTTAAATAGCTTATTTATTTAAATAATATTCTTCCTCGTGAGCAGCCGCGGCGACGTCGCGCACGCTGCTCACGAGGAGAACCCTTCTGTGGTTCGAAATGTTATTAATGTAACATTTCACACGTACCTATTTAAAGATTAATTAAATGAATGGTTTTAGCCTTTTTCTTTGACTTTTAACAATTTATTTATCTACAGCGAGCTGAAGGCGGTCGGCTAGAGATGGTGGGAGGCGGTGAAGGCACCCTCTCCCCCCTGCAGCCGGCCACCGACCTGCATCACGCACCGTTATTACTTGCCACTGAGGTAAGCAGCACTGTCATTTTAAGTGTGGGAGAGCCAAGCTTCGGCACGAATGGCCCGGCTCCACCGGAGTGATACCACGGCCGAGCAGAAAACCGACGTGAAATAACGCTTGCGTTGTGTTTCGTCGTGTGAGTTAGGTTACCGGAGCCGCAATTATCAATCAATTATTAATTATCCCCAATCTCCTCGATTCCCGAATCCCCAATAATCCTCAAATTCTTTAACCTCAAAAGGCCGGTAACGCACTTGCAACGCCTCTAGTGTTGCGGGTGTCCATGGGCGGCGCCGATTGCTTACCATCAGGTGCTCTGTTAGCTCGTTTACATAAAAAATGTCAATGTTTGTACAGGCGCGAGGAGCTCCCATTGAGCTGATGGCGCCTCACCACGCGAGGCATGCACTCTCGCATCATCACCACGTGAGTATTTAAACGTACCAGAAACTATATGTTTAATGACAAATACCAAAAATTTTGAATTCAGCTCGATTATAGGTTACGGCCGTAAGTCCTAAGTGTAAGTTAATGGTGGAAATTCCTTTAAAATATGAGAGTCCTTTTATTTGTAGCATTTCATGTGTTTAAGAAATAAGACATCTTAATAGAATGAGTAATGAAATAGAATTTTTAATAAAATTCTACTCCAAAGAAATAAATGTATGTATGCAACATCAATATTTTACATGGGACTCATAACATAAATAGTGAAAAGTGGGTGTTACTTCTGTGTGCACCTCTGCCTACCCCTTCGGGGATAAAAGGCGTGATGTTATGTTATGATGTTATGTTATGCAAAATCAATAAAAAATATCCTCTTCACAGCGTCGCAGCGGCGGTGGAGTTGGCGTGAATGTAGGGGGAGGCGTAGGAGTGGGAGTAGTAGGGGGAGGATCCCGCGCGCGACCCTATGTACGACACGCGGCGCGGTGGCCACATCATCCACTGCACCATATACATACACAGGTACCACCATAATCACCAATCCGCAAATCCCGCAAACCACCAATCCGCAAATCCCTCAAGCACCAAATCCCTCAAATCCCAAGTTTACGGCGGGCGGGCGTCTTAAACCCCCGGGCCACCACGACATCACGACGGCTCAGACAGTATACTAAAAGACTTATATCTAACAGGGCGGCGGCGGCCTGGTAGGCGCGGCGCTCCCCGCGCACGTCCAGGCACAACTACACGTCGCGCAACCACTCTCTCTGCCGCCACCACCACCCACTTACCAGGTAACATAAACATTATATTATTATAATTAAATGTAATTATCATCAGTCATTTAATCACCACTCCGCAATGATAGTGATATAATCACCACTCCGCAATGATAGTGATATAATCACCACTTCACAATCATGTTGTCATACATAACCACTTCACTAATCATTTTCACTATTCATTATTAGGTTATTACTACCATCTATCGAGCGCTGGGACAACTTGTGTTAATTAATGAATTATTTTAATATAAAATGTTGATAGCGCTATGATCCCGTTACCGATCCGAACACATGTAATATGTTAGTTATTGTTAAAACAACTGCTTATGGTATTGTTCTTTACAGAAAGAATCAATATTTTCCTATGATTTTAATAATAATTAGTGAAACGTGTTCTCCAAATTGTTCACACACAGTCATAAAGTAGTAGTAATACAGGCTTGCTGTCCACAGATAGCGTATGAATCCAATGCGCGGGAATCAAAAATAAATGAATCCAATCTAATTTAAATGAAGAACAGAGGGCTTCATTTACATACGTGCAGGATTTGACATTAAAATTACCCATTTTTGAACTCCACAGGTGTTCTTAAACCTCCTGGCGATGTTCCCCCTATCCCCCTACGCTGAAGCAAGGGGCGCCGGCGAGGAAGGCGCCGAATCCACAGAACCAGAAAACTACGAAGCCCTATTATCACTGGCGGAGCGCCTAGGCGAGGCAAAGCCCCGGGGCCTTGCTAGACACGAAATTGAAGCCCTACCAAGCTACAAGTTTGCCGCAGCGACGCATCGCGGCGAACAGACGAGCTGTGTAGTGTGTATGTGCGAGTTCGAGGCCCGGCAGTTGCTCCGCGTACTTCCTTGTGCGCACGAGTTCCATGCTAAGTGCGTGGATAAGTGGCTAAGGGTAAGTATTTTAAGTTTTATTTTAGTTCGGATAGATTTTTGCGGTTCATAGAGGGCGTTCATGTCGGTTTTTGGCGGGTGTAATGAATAAATGTTGTGTGAAAGAGCTTGGTTTGTTATAGAGTATGGCTTTCTTGAATTAGGTCATTTTATTGTCAGCAGTGGCTAAGGGTAAGAATTTAAAGTTTTATTTTAGTTCGGATAAATTTTTGCGGTTCATAGATGGCGTTCATGTCGTTTTCTGGCGGGTGTAATGAATAAATGTTGTGTGAAAGAGCTTGGTTTGTTATAGAGTATATGGCTTTCTTGAATTAGATCATTTTATTGTCATCAGTGGCTAAGGGTAAGAATTTAAAGTTTTATTTTAGTTCGGATAAACATTTGCGGTTCATAGATGGCGTTCGTGTCGTTTTGTGGCGGGTGTAATGAATAAATGCTGTTTAAAAGAGCTTGGTTTGTTACATAGTGTGGCTTTATTGAATTAGATCATTTTAATGTCATCATTATCAAGTCCTTCTGATTGTATTTTCACAATTCTGAGATGGCACTTGGGTAGTTTTAAGACCGTATGTATAGTCTCTTGGTAGACTAAACATACTTTTTTTGATTTAAATGAAAGGCAATAGTTAAGAATAATAATTGTATTGTAAAATAATGAACTAACGTAAAATGGATTGAGTGAACTGAGGCCTTAGTACGTTTAAAGTATTCGAAACGAGTACGCGTTCGGCGCTCTGATTGGCCGGCACCAATAAACCAACCAATCATTTCTCATTTCAAGCTTCATTTCTGCCAACAAGGCGTCAAGGTGAAAGCCAAAAATTATCAAAGTGACATTCTAGAGACTGTTGTGAAACCCCTATTCCATAACAAGTATTGGGTTTTCCAGCAAGACTCGGCGCCATCCCAAATTAAAAGATATGCAACTTTTAATTTGTCTCAAAACTTATGAACACATGAGGTACACTCATTAGATAGATAGTTTCGATTTCTGTGTACGACAATTGGTTTATTTTAATTCTAAAAGTATTTTACGTGTCGTAGATGGCGCTAGGGTAGTTTTAAGTCTGGTAGAATGAGAAATATTAATATCTGGAAAACAATGGTTGATTCCTGTGACTTTCTTGAGTTCGATTCTCGTGTAGGTAGATTTCATCTTTGCAAGGCTCGGGTTCGATTCCCAAGAGAAGTATATGTTAGCCATATTCTTCTACCCATTGTCACATTGAGGAATTTCCGGTGTTTTTAGAAATATTCTCAGCAAATGCATGTAGTCTGGAATTCTGCAGTCCCACATCGATTCAGCTTCTCTTGCCGAGAAGAAGAAGAGAAGCGTTGGAGATTACATTTAATTCTCGTTTTAACTATATGTCAGATAACATAATATAACAACACGCCTTTCATCCTCGAAGGGGTAGGCAGAGGTGCACATTATACCACTATACAATGTAACACCCACTTTTCCCTATTTATGTTATAAGTCCCATGTAATAGGGGGTGAGCCTATTGCCATATACCGGGCACATTTCCAGACTCCGTGCTATTACCTACTGAGAATATTTAAAAACTCAGTTATACTTTCCCCGACCCGGGAATAATATAATATTTTTTTTTGTTCCAGTCAAACAGAACCTGCCCTATTTGCCGCGGCAACGCATCAGAGTACTTCAGCAATACGGAGTGACTTACATACAACGACACATCTACAAATAACAATAACATACTGTCTGTCTTTCAACTCTTAATACAAGCCATGTATAACATAACATAAAATTGGTCAGAAGTTGGGGTCACAATTATATGTGTGCACCTTTGTAAAATGATTTTTGTAACATTACGTAATTGAAAAGAATCGTTTTCAAACATAATAGGGACGATGACGGAGTATGAAAATTAAAAATCTAATTAGTCCGTCAGTTAGGTAATGAAAAAATATTAGACACGTATTTTTTTATTTCGTCGTATAAGAAAAACGAATCAAAGTTTAGGAGTGGGGGCTAAATGGTCATTTCTACGTATGAAACGTACATAGAAGTGACGTCACGCGACATTTCAAATCAATATATCGCCGAAAGTATTCGTTTCTGTAAGAAAATAAAAAATAAGTGTCTAATGTTTTAAAATAATCTACGAGACGGACATTGGAATAATATTTAATTTTATAATTTTTTTTTCAAATTTGCAATACATAAAATAGTTTTTGTGTATCCAAATATCGATGTGTCGTTTGTATGCAAAGGAAGTCTTTTAAGTAAAATCGTGTCTGTATTTCTTAATTGTGAACGATTTTGAAAAAAGGTTGAGTTGACAAGTATAACTGGGAATGCTGTTTTGTAGATAAAACTAAGATATTTTGCTTTGAAACTGTCCTGTAGGTTAAAATAGGAAGATCAGCGTATGAAAACTAAAAATCTAATTTGGTACTTTCCTTAATCAAAAATACATTATTTCGACTGTTCAATACAATGAAATATTAAAAAATAATCACACTTTCATTCATTGATTTTATGACCAACTTAGTTTTAATATTTTTCCAGCAAATTTTCAAGAAATAAGTATGTTGTTTGACGCTACAAAAACGTGACGTCCCAATTTTGAACGAGACTGTGTAGTCTCGTTCAAAATTCATAGAAAACTGTCGTTTTTGACAGTTCGAAAAAAGTATTGAATTTGACTAGTTGGCAAGTACCGAATTAGTCCGTAAGTTAGGTAATGAAAAAATATTAGACACGTATTTTTTTTATTTTGTCGCATAGGAAAGCAATACTTAGATAAAACTGAGTTAAGTTTTGGAGAGGGAGCCAAAACGTCATTTCTACGTTTAAAATGTACATAGAAGTGACGTCACACGATATTTCAAATCGATATATCGTCGAAAGTATCCGTTTCTGCGAGAAAATAAAAAATACGTGTCTAATGGTTTACAATAATCTACCAGACGTACAAAATTGAGGAAACTACCCAATTCTGCTTATCCCCTTTCTGTTATATATGGTGTCGTTTTTTAATATACGTAGTCTTGTTAATATACAGGGTGTTACTTTTTCATCTTTGTTAGTATACATGGTCTTACTTTTTCGGTTTTACTTTTCATCCTTATTATTATACAGGATGTTACTTCTCCAATCTTGTTGTTATACATGGTGTTACTTTTTCATCTTTGTCGCTGTACAGAGTGTTGCTTTTTCATTTTGTAACTATACAGGCTGTTTGTTTTTAATTTTTCAACATACATACAGAGTGTTGTTTCTGCTAGGGTGTTTCAAAAAGCAAATATCTTAGTTTCATCTAGAAATGGTGTTATAAATTTAGTTACCCTGTGGCAGAGTACCCTCTAACCACAACTTATACATAATAAAATATATAGTATGTCCGTTTTGTCGTTCGTTTCTCGGCAACGGTGCGTGTATATATAAATATAGTGTTAGGTGATTATAGTGTGTGTGCGTATGTGTGACGTCATTAAGATAGCAACGTAAGGTATGGTTTTAATTTTTTCTTCTGTTTTTTTTTTTAATTTTTGAGACGTTGGTTCGGGTTTTTTGTGCTCTGGGAGTCGAAAATTTATAATTTTAGAATTGGTTGCGCAAGAGTTGACAGAATTGATGATTTTAATATACTCACTTCATGTTAAGCTTGAATAAGTATTGTCTTTGTTAATTAATACCGATTTCAATAATTTATCGAGCAAACGACAGTCGCAATGGGTTTAAAAGTCGATTCCCGAGTATAGTAATATTATTAGACCAACCAAGATCAACTTTTAAACAAGGCTTCCCAGGGTACAAGATTCGATTATTTATGCAAGGAATGAAATTTTAGTGCGTTATTTGACTAACTTTTTTTAATTCTTGCTTTGATTCGCTTCGTGTAGCACCTAACAATGCATTATTATATGTCTATGTACGGAAATGGGACGGGCAGAGTGGTTTCATAAACGTAAGTTTTTTTGAGTAGTTATAAATGGGGTTTGGAAATTTTGTCTTGATAGATATGTATAACCAAGTAATTTATTCATTTTTACTTTCAAATACAAGGGTATCTATTTGATTCCCGATTCGGTCATACACAAATATGTTTGATTGCTTCATTGGTCGTAAACTGTGCGAGATATGAGGTTACCATTCAGATTACTGGGTCAGTCACAAGCAAATGAATTGATGGCCTCGGAGAGTAAGTGTGTAAAGTTTGATTCCCAAGTCAAACTATTATTGAATGTTTCAATTTAAATAATTCTCAGTACTAAACATTTTGAATTATAATCACCACTAAATAATGTAAGTGAAATAAGTTTACATGCTAAAATACATAGTCACAATTATTTAACTACAAATACAGTGTATTTACCCGTAAATACACTGTATTTATCCGTAAATACATTGTATTTGTATGTAAATACATAGTATTATTATTTTATTCATACATATCTGCCTACCCCTTTACCAAATAACATCTAATATCGTATATGGAACCACTCTACGTAGTCGGACGCTGTTCTAAGCTTACGAAACTTGGTTTGCTTGTGCAATATAAAATACAACTCTATTACTATAGTATTTAAATTCAATTTAGCTCGAATACGTCCCTCTGTGATGGACAAACGCTCCAAAATATCTGTACACAAGAATATCATCAACATCAAATTCCTATCCCCAATAGGCCGGTAACGCACTTGTAACGCCTCTGGTGTTCCAGGTGAGCGACGCCGATTGCTTACTATCAGGTGATCCGTCTGCTCGTTTACCGGCTTATTATACCATAAAAAAATGAATTAGGCAAACATTGCTTTCATAAAATAATAGCGGAGACCACAACACATCACATCAACAGCCTATAAATACCCACTGTTGACCAAAGACCTCTTCTCACACGGAGGTTTGAGCATTAATCGCCCCGCTTGCTCAATGCGGGTTGGCAAGACAAGCCCTTTAGACAAGCGCTATATGGCATTTGGCTACAGCTGCTGGGCTTAAAATTTCTAATTATAAGTTTGTAATCGCTCCCGCATTGAGCAAGCGTGGCGATTAATGCTCAAACCTCCGTGTGAGAAGAGGCCTTTGGTCAGCTGTGGACACTTATAGGCTGTTGATGATAGGGATTAAACGCCCAATAGCGTGAGAGTAGCTAATTCAGGACGAAGAACGAGAAGTAGACTAGTGCCATCTGGTGAGGAAAGTCCAGTAGCCCTCTGTAACCAGCAGCTGTAGCCAAATGCCATTTAGCGCTTGTCTACATGTAGAATAGAAAACTAAATTATATGGGATTGACGTAAATTTTGACACTTGTCAGTGTCATCCCCATACATTTTGATTTCTACTCTCTCTGTAGACAAGCGCTAAAGTGGCGTTTGGCTAAAGGCACAGGTTTCCTCACGATGTTTTCCTTCACCGTTTGTCAGTGGTGTGTAAATAATATTGTTGGAAAGAATATAGAGACTATAATGTGGGTATTATCTGCATAAGAAGGTTTGCATTCATCTCCACGCCTGGTTTATATGGTTCAGGTTTATCAGAGAACGCTGCTGGCCGGTCTCTTTCAAATGTGTGGTCCCTTGTCGGGTATACGACACCCGCGGGAAGACTAGCGATGACGAATGTATTCTTCTCTGCTATCAGTATTTTGGAACTTAATCTCACAGAGGGACTCCCCTAGTTGCAATTTTTTTGAATAATCGTTGAACTTAATATTCAATTTTTTATTGTTTTAAAATTTGTTAACCGACTTGATCGTAAAAAGAGGTATTGTTGAACGTTTCGACACGACACTATTAGTTGGATATTATCGCGCTATCGTTTTACTGGGGTATATGGCAGTTGAGTGTAGGTAGCAAAGTCACAATTCGATTATCGATCAAATATAGTGGCTAAACTTCTACCCATTATATATAAAATATTTCTTTTATAATCTACGGTTAATAAAATCGACTTCAACTCCCCTCTATTTTTGAAGTCGGTTAATTAGAAATAAAGAAAGACTATTTATTTTGCTACTAGCTTTTTCCCGCGGCTTCGCTCGCGTCGCATAAGAATAAAAAGTAGCCTATGTGACATATAGCAATATACACAGCGCCATCTATACCAATACTTTTGTTTTTCCCTCGGGAATATACATTTTTTCCGGGATAAAAAGTACCCTATTATTTAATCTGGACTTCTAACTTTACGTCTGCAAAAATTCAAAGCAATCGGTTTAGTAGTTACGGCGTGAAAGCGGAACAAACAAACAAACAAACTCACTTTCCGATTTATAATATTAGTAAGGATGACACACAACTAGGATGTAGGAACACACAAAAAAGCCAATGGTGCGTCGCAGCGCAAAAGGATCAATTATAATTGATATATTAAAACCTTCTTCCAAGTATTTCAAACACATTTCTGAGAACCTTATTAAAATCGATTCGGCCAACTGCGAGATAGGCGCACAAACATACATAAATATAGAGTCTGTGTTTCCTGAGGGTATAACCTGGGTGTCTTCAAGGCTCGAGCGAATAGGTTGCTTATGGGACGACGTGCTCCATCGTAGACCGCATCATCGCTTACCAACAACCGAGATAGTGGTCAAACGTCGGCCCAAAGATTATAAAAGTGGCGTCATAAATAATACAAAACGTTAGTCTGTCAATCAGTCCCCTAGTTGCTCTATTCGCTCGTTCCAAAGTCTAGATTCCTATGTAGAAGAACGAGCAAGAAACTCCATAGGTTACATGGCTCGGAGTCGCGGAGAACCTAACGGGTAACCGGGGCTTCGGCTCGACGTACAGGAGAAGGAACGGGGTGGTTTTTAGTCAGTAAGAGTCTGACACTCCCTTCCGCCTCACCCAGGCGGGAGCAGTCATTCGATGATTTTCCCCCCTAAAAAAAAAAAATAGGTTACATGGCTATGTTAGTTTTGCCTATCCCACAAAAATTCTAGCTACTGTTT